CGTCAGGTGGAAGTCCAACAAAGGAAAGAAATCCATCTTTGCATAGACGTCCATCGAAGTTCGATAACCGGTAGAAGTTCGGCATCGGGTAGAAACTTGGCGAAGAGTGAAGGTCCGACGTCGGGTAGAAGTCCGACGTCTGTTGGTGGCAGAGGAGAACTCCGGCTTCACTTGGGCGGAATTTCGGCGTCAGGAGGGAACTCTGTTGTAAATTAGGAAGAATTTCAGCATCACGTGGAAAGTTGGGCCGAATTCATGCATTCTCCCGAAATTATCATGCATAATCCCGACTTGTTCGGGTGGCAGGATGAACTCCGGCGGTGGTCGAGGAGGAGAGGATTCTGCTTTTTCCCTTTCTCCTCTTCTTCTCTTCTTCTTCTCTCTCTTCACCTCTCTCTTCACCTGAGTCCCTTTGTGTAGAATGAGGGCTCTATTTATAGTTTTTCTGGAGTGTCATAGCCCGTAAATAGGCTTGAGATCAGGGGTGAATTGAGAGTGGTTTGAATTGACGGCTGATATCGAATCCTTTGATCATGCACCGTTCGTTGGACATTTGGAGGCCTTAATGATGTCGGAATTTAGAGATATTGGGCTCGTTAGATTCGTCTCATCGAGCCGCTCGATTAGAGTATAAGCTCGTTAAAATCGGAGACCGTTTGGTAACTCAAATTGCGTTTTGAACCTTCCAACAGCGCTTCAGGTCCTTGATTCGGACCTATTTGGGCTCAGATTGGGTCGAATTTGGTGTCGCTGGGTTCGTATTTCCGAGACGCTCAATTTGACTGTAAGTTTGCTGAAATCGGAGTTCATGTGTTCCCGGATTTAATTTTTGAAGTTTTCAACTTGATTTTTGTCTCGAGATTCGTAACCGATCAAGATAATTTTTGTATGACCTATAAAAAATATTTATCAAAATATTTCAAAAAAAAAAAAACCGCAGTACTTTCAGATTCTAGAGAATGTTTGAACCCTCCTAAAAATATCAGAATGTTAAGGCCCAAAGCCCTTCGAAGTATGTCCTCCAGCCTCTCCCAATCTATCAAGCTTCTAATCCCTCACTCAACCGCCACAGTTATCGAAGCCGCCGACACCGCCGCTTCAGTCCGTGTTCTTCGCCGGGCAACACCTTGGCATTATTCCCTTCCTCTTTCGATTTTCGGGAGGCCAGCTTATTCATCGCTTTCACAGTGTCCTCCGTCGCGCCGCTGTTTCTCCCTTGGGGTTGAAATGGGGGAGGAGAGCATATCTTATCTCACACAGAAGGAGGCCGCGGAGATTGATGAGATCCTCATGGGTTCTCTTGGCTTCAGCGTCGACCAATTGATGGTCCGTTCCTCCTGCTTTTGTAATTGGAAGATTAAGACACCGTTCGCACTTTCATTATTTCTATCGCGGTAGAGTTTAACTTAGGCTATCTTGCTTGCTTATTACAGGAATTGGCGGGGTTGAGCGTTGCTGCATCGATTGCTGAGGTGACGTTCATCCATTATCTTCTGTTTTGATATAAGTATAGTTTGGTGCTTTCTATAATATATCTCAGCTCACAAGTTCGAATTTTTATCTTGGGACTGGTTTTCGTGCATACACCGATCTAGTGTTTGGTTCTCTTTGCATCGCTTAAGAGAAATAAATCGTTTATTCATGATTGTTTCATTTAGTAGCTTGAACGTTTATCAGCATCAGGTCTTGTGCCAGCTTTTGAACGTGGGTTTTGTGAACCCTGTTTTTTCATTCGTTTGTGTTGAATGTTGTATAATGTGTTTAGAGTTCAAACTTTGGGAAATTAAAGCCTAAAGAAAGCTAAACTCTGAGAAGATTTAAGTTTTGATGATGCATATCAAGATCGACTTGAAGTGATAAAGAACATATCATGATATTCATGAATTATTTTTTGTAGGGAGCCCTATAAAATGGTCCGAAAATTAAACTCATTGAAAAATATGTATTGGCGCTTTAAATTTGGATAATCAGATCAAGTTCAAACGTATTTAAAGGAACTGAACTTGGATGGGCGCAAGTGAGGTGTGATTCTAGAGCCACTCCATGTTCACTTATTGTGGATATAATTGAGAGTTCAAACCATGGTGGGGAATAAGAAGATATTAACGTGTTTTGCTTACTCGGATCACTGTTGCATGTGCTGTTGAAAGTTCGAACTTTGGTAAATTTCGGATGAGCATATCAAGGTTACTTGAAGTTATGTAGGAGTGATGTAAGGCTTGACCTGCTACAGTACATCCCCATTCAACTTGAAGCAACTTGAAGAGGCATATAAATTATCAACTCTCTTCAGAAATTTACATTATCACTTATAATTTGCATTTGTTTACAACATATTTTGAGTTCAACATTTGAATGAGCTGACATGGGCAAGTAATATTAATAAGTTATCATCTCCATGCCAGCATCATCATCAAAATTATTTCAACTATTTGGGTTTGGTTTTAACTTTTAAGTATGGTCTCCTTTATCCCCTTTATAAGTACATCTTCTATTCTCCATTTCATAACACAAATCCATTAAGTTTATTTTTCAGTACTTTATCTTTAATAGGTTCTAGTCCCATAGTCACTTTTACATAATCATTTATTAATCTATCCTTTTGTGCTTTGCAGCATCCATCTCAATATTCTTATTCCTAAACGCCTAACTTGATGATTTACCTTTACTCGTCTCATAGTACACTCAGGCATTTCTCAATTTTATTGGCCTTAGCTTAAATTTATCCAGACCCCCTTTATCATGCATGCTTTGAATTGCCCATTGGTGATTTTAGTGTGGTGCACCTAGTATACGTTTAATTATCGAATTGTAAATGGTTGCCACATTATTTTATTTTCTATGAGGTGCCTTGGTGCTTGATTTTAACAAATGGGAAAGTTCTAATCAATAATACATTAACTAAAATAAGTGAACCTTTCGAACAAGAGATAAAACATCTAGAATTTAGTGATCTAAGAATTGACAAAACAAATATTGAGTATATGATTTGAAAATTTTGTAACAATCATAATTGAATATTATCGGAAGATAAGAAGTGTGATCGGTTAAAGAATTTGGGATTTATTATATAGAAGAATTGAGATATAAATGATGGTATAAGTTCTATTATAGTTGAGTGGTTAAAATGGATAAGTGTATTAAGAGAAATTAAGTGATAAGAGAATATCCCCATGACTTAATGATAGATTTTATAAAATCAAAATTAATCTAGTGATGACATATGGATCCGTGCATTGGGCTATTAAAAATAGTTGATATCTAAATTGACTGTGATATAAACAGAATGTTAAGATGCATGACAGAATTCGAAAAGTTAAATTAAAGTATGATTATGTTAGAGGGATTGTTGGAGTAACATATATTGATGATAAGATAATTAAAAATAGATTTAAGTGATTTGAACTTACATATAACGAAGAGTAAAAAATGCACTAATTAGATAATTAGATATAATTACTATCAGAGGATTATAAAGAATAAAAGATAGTTATAAAATAACTTCAATATAAGCATTTAAAATAATTTGGGAAGAATAGGACTAGGACTTTGGGTAACGCTTGGTAGGAATGATTGAAAACTAATAATTTATAAAGCTAATGCCAAATAGTGGGAATAAGGGTAATGTTGATGATTTTTAAGAATTGTGTTTTGCAACTCTTGTATCTCAATGAAGAAAATATTGTTGAAATTTTCTAGATTCTTCTATCTCTTATAATTTCAGATATGCTTTTTGTTTTAATAGGTTTGCTAAAAAAATTTCTAATGCCAAACATATATGTATGAATGATTTTCTTTTATAATCATCTTTTTTGATCTTTTGTGGGGCATACCTAGTGATGTTTATCAAGGATTTAGATTATCTGAACTCTTTTAAATAATTACTTTTGCTTAATCGATTGTTGTTAAAAGAGGGCCATTATATCTCTGAATTTAAATTAGTGATAACTCATATGTATCATGCTTTCTAGATTAACCCTCATTAATTACAAAGTTGACGAATGTTATAGGTCTACAATTCAAATGACAATGGCCGCGTTATCGTTCTCTGTGGTCCAGGGAATAATGGCGGCGATGGTCTAGTTGCTGCTCGTCATCTTTATCATTTTGGTTATCAGCCTTTTATTTGTTATCCAAAACGTACAGCCAAGCCGCTATATTCAGGCCTAGTAACTCAGGTAGATATTGATTCATTTGTAGCCAACTAAACTGAACATTATCTAATAAACCTCTCTCCATTGATGCAATTTTGTAGCTGGAATCTTTATCAATACCATTCTTGTTAGTTGAAGATCTACCTCAGAATTTATCTGATCGTTTTGACATTATTGTAGATGCAATGTTTGGATTCTCATTTCATGGTAAGCTAGCTCCATTATTCTTCTTGTCTCATAGTTTTGGTCATTTACACCGATAATCTCTTTTTTAGTGTAGATTGTATTAATGTATCAAAGCAAGTTCCATGTTGATTTTGATCCTTCTCAGTTCATGTTTATATTAGGCCAAAATTAGGTTTGAGTGATATAGAGACAATTTCCACTCCAAGTTAGGTTCTTAAAGAATGAATGAAACTAGATGAGAAATAATGGTATTATCAGATCCATACATAAAACATATGCAAATTTTTAGATGTTTCATGCTTCTGAGCTGGAGCAAATTTGAAATATAGAGTTGAATTTGGTAAATGAAATCACGCTTGAGTAGATTGTAAATGAACTATAGATAAAAAAAATGTGATTTGTTGTTATAGAGTGAAAGATTTATTGAGGTAGGTCTATGTTTGATGTAAACCATCTATGCAAACCTTAAACGTAGATGAAAAAGGTTGAAGACTAAGGTTAGGATGACAACGATTAATAACATGCTAGAATTAATGAAATAACTTTTGAGTCAATGTTTAGTGTATGGTGCTTCGCAAAAGTGATTCACTATGTGACATCCCAAATGTAATGAGAAGCATGCTGAGGTTGATTAGCATGTAACAGTAACCATCAATCGTCATTACTATTTATAGTGAGTAGAGGGTAAGTGGTTAAGACATAATGATACTAGCCTATTAGGTTCAAATGATGTGCCACATACTCATAAACATTAGCTTTATCCCAAATCTTCATAGTTGGTTTTACTGACCCCTACTCCATTCATTTCTATTGAGTGCTATAGAAGATGTTAATTATAGTATATGTCTTTTCTATAAATTATATCCATATTATCTTTGGTGGAATCATTTTACTTCAAATACCTATACAATAGTATATCTTCATCTTTGTAAGTACTTTTTTTTCACCCAACATTATACATGCCTAATGCACCTAAGTGTATTTTACGCCACCTTATATTGATAGATGCTAGTTAGGCTATCCCTTTAATATTATCAGTTTTCACTATATACACCTTTCTTCACCACAATTTATTTAAATTACTTATCTCAATTTATTGTTTAATGCTCAATCCATATAACATAGACCTCTAATTATTATTTTATAAATTTATCTTAAAGTATTATTGATGTTTTTTTTTTACTTCATATAACTCGCAAGGTACTTTTTTAATTATAATTATCAATTTTAAACTCAAGCAGTTGTATTTTTATCTATAGCTTTGTTTTTATATTTTATAAATTTAAGATAATTAAATAGTTCACATCTAAATATTATTTTATTTTCTAGCAATATTGATTTAGAATCATCAATTTAACATCTCTTATATTACATGTCATATAATTTGTTGTCATTCTACAAACCTCAAGTTCATATCTTTTAAAAATATCCTCTTTCATTCTTATTTTTTACATACTTAATAAGATGCTCCATCAATTAAAATAATATCCTCCATAACATTATTCACTAGGGTTCCTCACATTCAATTCTTTTTTATATGCATCTTTATAAACAATCCAAAAAATATTTAAGGCTAATGACCTTAATGTCTTTGTGCTTATATTATTAAATTGCCATGATTTCCATTTTTTATGTCATCTCATTCAATGAATGCAATGATGTCTATACTTACATTTTATGTTTTCCTCTGAATATTTTTCACTATTTCCTTTAAAATTATGGGAGAGAAGTATGGTGCATAGGTTCTCAAAATCAATTTGGAATCATGCCGAGTAGGTCTACTATGGAAGCTATACATTTATTGAGAGAGTTGATGGAGAAGTATAGAGAGAATAAGGAGGATCTACATATGATATTCATTGATTTAGAGAAAGCATATGATAAAATTTCAAGAGAAGTGCTATAGAGAGTTCTAGAAAAGAAAAAGATTAATAATGTTTATATTCAAATCATTAATGATATATACGCAGGAGCTGTTATTTGTGTTCAAACGAAAGGTGCTTTGACCAATTATTTTCCTATTTCAGTTGGATTACATCAAGGATCAGCCTTATGTCCATATCTTTTTGCTTTAGTCATTGATGTTCTCACAAAACATTTGCAAATGGTTGTATCCTGGTTTATGCTTTTTGCTTTTTGCTGATGATATTCTTCTTGTTGATAAGACTAGAGAGGGAGTTGAAGGTAAACTTGAATAATGGAGGTCAACCTTAGAGTCTAAAGTCTTTCGTTTGAGTAGATCTAAAACTTAGTATATTGTTGACCTAAATAAAAATAAAAATAAAAATAATATAGTAAAAAAAAATTGTTACCTCTACTGCTGCCTATGCCCAAACCCTACTTGAGTTGCATCCGCCGCCTGCTATAGTAATCATTTCTTGTGCAAAATGAGGCAGAATTCGCATCTTTTCTCCCACGTGCGTAGCTCGCCTCGATCCTGCTTCTACCTTCATCATTAAAATGGAAATAGAGCCTCGCTTCATGGTTCTCTCGCTACTTCACTTCCTTCCCACATACAAGCCACAACCTCAATCCTGTCTTCACCGACCCTGTTCGAACATCAAAGCCGCAACTCCCATCTTTTCCACTGCCGAGCTCCAGCCGCATCCCAATTCCACATCTCCCAGACCACATCCAGATCTCGCACCTCATCCGACCACCTCAAACCCAGATCCCATTGCTTCCCCATCCCTCCATTCGTACGCAGCAGCCTTCCGTAAGCCCTTCCATCGACCTCACCTACTCGACTGACAAAGGTCTTGCAATCAATCTCTCCACCTCCTATACCCGACACCCAGCTTCCCTCTCCAGGCCGTATCCAGCCACAAGTTTTTCCTCTTCCATTTTGGACCCCATACTTGTAGCCGATCTCAACTGAGCCGTCTAAAACTCATGCTAGTTTCTGATCTTCACTCAAACAGCCGATCTCCTCCTCCCTCGTTCGCAAACCTCTGCCCTAGCTGATCTCTTCCTGTGTTTCTTCCCACCAACAGCTTTATTTCCCTCTCCACTCCTCGACTAACCCAACCCGAACAACCCACTGCAGGCCCAAAGCCCATTCTATAATTCCTTCTACCAAGCCTGTAACAAAACTCAACAGGAAGCCCACTTCTTTCCTTACAAATAGCCCACATTTAGCCCTCCAAAGCAGCCCACTTTCAAAGCCCATACCGTTACGCTCAAAAAGCCCAGCTGCCAGCCCATCAAGCCTCCAAAACCAGCCCAGTTAGCAGCCCAAACAATCTACTATAGGTAAAATCTTGTTAAGGCTTTTTATAACCACATTTCCTAGTAAATTGTTATTAATGTGAGTGATTACTAGATGCTAGATGCTGTCTATGAGCAAATGTCGAGGAACAGTAGCAAATACAAATGCCTACGGATAACACCAGAATATTTGTATGCAAAGCAACTTGCCTGCAAAAGAGGCATCAAGCTTGTGGCAAATGCAGTTGCCAACAAGTGATAGTAGCATATTCATTAGTGCACAACACCCTACCTGCCTAAAACAACTAACAACCCTCAATGTGACGCCAGACCACTGGATCCGCAATATCCCTACAAGCGGACAGAAGGCGTCTACGGGCTTCTACATAAAGCATTGCGCAGACCCAAATGTTGATCGTTTGCACAGTTGAACAGCATTAAACATTTTAAAATATCCCCACACATACAGAACATGTATATACGCAAATATGAAAGCGCACATCCAAGTACATCAACTAGTATATTTGTAAGAATATACACCCGCATGGGCCCCAACGAGCTTGTTGTATTTACACATGTTTGGTCGAAACCGATCCTCTGGATAGAACCGACAGGTAATTAGATAGAACTGATCCTCATATGTAAATACAACATGTGTGTAATTCCACTAGTAAAAGCATATAACTGACAATGAAACTGATCCTATGATAGCAATTAGATAGAGTCCACAAGGTTCAACAGATAATTACAAAAATGTCTCCTAAATACCCGCATGGCCCCGACGAGTATGTTGTATTTACACACATGACGTTCAAGGATGTTACGCGGGTCAAGAAATGAACCTAAGTTCAAGTCCAATCATTCTCCTTGATGGGACTGGTGTCTACACAACTTGAAAAAAATGAACAAATATATGATCCTGGCATCGATCGGGATATTTGATTTTATACGTTCATATCAGGCTTCAAGGCCTTTAAACCATGAAAATTCTCAAAATATTCATAAAACCTCAGATGATGCTTATGTTGAACGTATATCTCAACCGGAGGGATTAATTCTAAATATTCAAAATGCCACCAAAATGCTCATAAAATAAAATAAAAATACTAAAATTTAAAATTCTTTAAAATCGAAATAAACCATCAAAACACTTAAAACAAAATTCATCAACCCTCCACAATAATTTGTCGAGGTGGATAAATAAACATCACTTTAGCTCATAAAGAGTTAATGTTTGATCGAGAATATCGCTATGATTCATTTTCAAACAGTCTCTTGCCAGCAAAGACGTGGCACGTGTCCTCTAACAAATGGTTTTGTCACCAAATGGCATCACACCGATGGTTTCATCACTAAATATCACTACATGTAAATGGTTATGACTAAAGCCCTCTGTACCAGGTGGTTCGCCACCAAATGACACCACTAAATTACGGTCATGGCCAGCACCCACATGCTCCCCAATGACACTAAACTATTGAGATATGAATCAATAGGATACGATCGGTAGGGCACAAAGCCCTCTGTTAGCTAAGGTGGGTTCAAATTTGTCCCATTAGACAAACACTCACCTTAGGTTTATCAGGTACGTTTGGACCATGACTAAGTAGATCAGGGACCACGATGGCCTAGGATGGCGAAACCATGGGATTTTGATTGGACTCATCATCACTCCTCCCACCGTCCGCTTTTAGTGCAAGATGGTGAAATTTTAAATTTTAAATATCAAAATTTCAAATACCTAAACCAAAGCTGCTACTATATGCTAAGTATCACGTATCTACGGATACGATCTATTCATTTGACGATTAGCCTTAATCAAAATTAGAATTCAAATTATAAAGGCCTCACAAAATTAGAACGAAATCTCTGAGTAGTGTCTTATTTCAAACCCAGTCTGCCTTACGAAAATTTACCCAATAACTTAATTTGTTAAAACTCCACCGAAAAGCAGGGGAGGCGAGAGCGTGAATTTTGGGAGCCCACATCGACTCTTGAGCTTGTTAATGAGTCGAGCCTGAGCCGGCTCATGAGACGGCTTGACTCGCACCCCTAAGGAGAACTGATTTCTTTCTACATAACAGTGCAAAAGTCATTTAGTCTATCACTGGAATTGAACAAAATTTTACTCTGATGGCACAAATGGCGAGTAATTCCTTTTCATATTTATAAGTTAGTGAATGTATGATACATTTGAATTTCTGTATGTGTTGATTCCAACGCTAAAGCAATTGTTAAGTAATATTTCCAAATGTAATTCAGGTGCTCCAAGACCACCTTTTGATTATCTTATCCAAAGGATTGCTTTGTTGAACGACATTGAAAAAAATACAAGGAGCTCACCTGCCGTAATTTCTGTTGATATCCCGTCTGGTTGGCATGTTGAAGAAGGAGATATCAATGGTGAAGGGATCAAACCTGACATGCTGGTTAGCTTCTGATGTGAAATTTCTGTAATGACATAGTCTACTTTGTCATAGATCCCGCTTCATATTTTATTTTAATTTTTGCAAAGTCAATTATTGCATTCCTTCTTGCATATTGTTATTTACTTCCACTGTGAGCTATCCAGGTATCATTAACAGCTCCAAAGCTTTGTGCGAAGAAGTTTGCTGGTCCTCATCACTTTTTAGGTGGCAGATTTGTGCCTCCATCTATCAAAGATAAGTTTGTTCTCCGGCTTCCTGCGTATCCTGGCACTTCCATGTGTGTGAGAATTGGAAAGGCTCCTAAAGTTAACATCTCAGCTCTAAGGGAAAACTATGTTTCTCCAGAGCTACTGGAAAATCAGGTGTTGGCGGATCCTACTGATCAGGTATGTAATTTGCAGACTTCTGAACTGGTTCAGACAAACATGGAAAAATTTTTGCATATCATTTGAGTTTTTTACCATCTTATTGTAATAAATGTGAGAAACCATCCAGCTTTGATAGATATGCTATTTTGAACTGTTTTACCCTAACGCTGATAGCTTGTTTGCTTAAATTATAAAAGACTGTATTGCTTGTAGTTCTGCAAGTGGTTTGATGAAGCTGTTGCAGCTGGCTTACGAGAGCCTAATGCCATGGCCTTATCAACCTCCAGCAAAGATGGCAAAATGTAAACTTTCAGCTTCTTATTTCGTTCTCCTAGATTAAAATTTTGTCATTTCTAAGATAAATCAATTACCTTGAGTTATGCATTATATGTTCACAAGAAACTTAATTTGTGTTGCTGGCAGTTCATCACGGATGGTTCTTCTAAAAGGAGTGAACAAACAAGGCTTTGTTTGGTTAGTCTGCCCTTTTATTTGATTAATATGGTTTTATTAACTTTCGATTTCCGCTAATTGTTTCTTCTAATGCGAGACACAAAAGAGCTGGAAAACATTTTACAAAGAATTATTTCTATGAGATTTTATCTTATTTTGTTTAGGTATACCAATTATGGAAGCCGTAAAGCTCAAGATCTGTCTGAAAATCCGTTTGCTGCTCTTCTTTTTCATTGGAATTCTTTGAACCGACAGGTTTAGTATACTTTATCTTTAGAAGGCACTTCTTTTATAATTGAAGTCACTTACCGCCAGGGTTTGTTTGTTTTCTGCTCTTAAGTGATATTTCGTTCGACCTTTTTATTGGAACTACTTGAAGCTAAGTTTAGCATTCTTTATGAGGTATCACATAGCTTGCCAGTGGTGCCATCTTGTGGTCGCTCTGTTTTTCTGTAGTATGCGAGGCTTTTCTTGTTCTGAAAACTGAAAGTGGAATGGGATTATCTAGTCTTTTTTTCTTAGTAAAAAGCTAAGAGGGAGATGAGGGAGGGGATCTATTAATAGTTATGGACAAATAAGTTGCCTATGCTTGTACATATGCAAACATGACCTTTAAAGCTCCTTTTATTTCTTGAAATACTTCAGGTTCTTATCATAATTGCATGGTAGAAAGCTTAGAGAAGAACTTCATTATCCTTTGGGAAATTCCTGTATAATTCCACCAATTGGGACCTATAATTATCAAAATCTTCACTCCCTTTCCTTCCTTTTTACTCTGATCTCATTGATTCGTGAGATTCCTACTGACTATTCATCAATTTGTGGATGTTTATGATTATTTGCAATTAATTTTATTCCCTAATTTCATATTTTTCTGTTAGATGCTTTTTTAGAATTATATATTTTGTACATGTTGAAATGAAAAATATTACACCAATTCTGTTCAATTCTTGTCATCATAAAAAACAATAACAACAAACCTTTATCCCACTACGTGGAGTCGGCTACATGAATCATTTTTCTCCATTGTGACCTGTTAAGAATCAAATTCTCATCTAAATCTAATAAAGAAAGTTCATCTCTAATATTTTCTAGCCAAGTCTTTTTAGGTCTACCTCCACCTTTCTTAACATAAGTCAAATCTAATACATCAACTTTCCTAACCGGGTCATCGGAAGGCCACCGTTTTATGTGACCAAACCATCTAAGGCGGCTCTCTCTAATCTTATCATCCACTGGAGCTGCTTTGACCTTTTCACATATATGCTCATTTAGTATCCTGTGTCTAAGAGTAAAGCCACTCATCCACTTAAGCATCCTCATCTCTGTAGCACTTAACTTAATATTATGCTTCTCTTTTAATGGCCAACATTCTGCACACTAAAGCATTGCAGGTCTTACTACCATCTTATAGAATTTTCCCTTAAGTTTGATAGGGACTTTTCTATCACACAACAAGCCCGATGCATTCTTCCACTTCAACCATCCGACTTGAATACTACTAATAATATCCCCATCTATTTCACCATCACTCTAAACAATAGACCCAATATATCTAAAACGTGTACTCTTATTAATGATTTGATCGCCCAAAGTCACAATCTCCCCACTATATCTATTATTACTAAAATTACACTCCATATATTCAATTTTAGATCTCCTCAAAGGAAAGCCTTTAGACTCTAAGGTTGACCTCATAATTCAAGGTTACCTTCAACTCCCTCTGTAGTCTTATCAACAAGAAGAATACCATAATGAAAAAGCATACATTAGGGTACAAACTCTTGCAAATGTCAGTGAGAACATTCATGACTAAAGCAAAAAGATATGAGCTTAAGGTTGATACTTGATGTAATCCAATAGAAATAGGAAAAATACTTGGTCAAGCCACCTTGTGTTTGAACACATTTAACAGTTCCTACACACATATCCTTAATGACTTGAATATAAGCATTATTAACACATTTTTTTTCTAAAACTCCATAGCACTTCTCTTGGAACTTTATCATTTGCTTTCTCTAAATCAATAAATATCATATGCAGACCCTCCTTATTCTCTCTATACTTCTCCATCAAACCTCTCAATAAATGTATAACTTCCATAATAGACCTACCCGGCATGAGTTCAAATTGATTTTGAGAAACATTAGTATCATGTCGTAATCTATGCTCTGTAACTCTCTCCCATAGTTGATGTAGAACATCTTAAATAAAAAGTGTCTTAAGATTAAATGACCTATTTGCTTTCTAGAAACTTATTAGCTTGTTATATATGGCTGTTGTAAGGAGAAAAAAAGCTGATAAGAGAATATTTTACCTTTTTTAAGCCTTCGAGCTTGTGTTGGTTCCCTGATTTTGTATCCCTTCTAGCAAATTCATTTCTTTCTTTTGATCCACTATATCAGTTGGTATCATAGCTTAGAGCTTATGAGGAATGACGGAGTGTCGAAGAAATGGGTTGTCGACGACGATCGAAGTCAGAGATGGGTTGTTGATGATGATTGATACCAAAGAAGATGTGCTGACGATGATGATCAAAGCCATAAATCCTTTTGGGCAGCTCAAATGAGTGAATCGCTCGATCGAATTGATGATTTATACTCTAATTTCATCTGTTTGATAGAGAGAATAAGAATGTCGGCAATCATACTGGTGCCTTTGCTCCTCAGCTCCTCTAGTGCGCCTGCACAACCAACCCTACTCCATTGCGATCCTTCCGCCGCTCATATAGATATTGTCTAGGGAGAGCGATTTTTCGGACCTCCTACGCCTCCCGAACACACGAACCCACCCCGATCCTAGATCTGAGCGCCTCCAGCGCACCCGACCCTGCTTCTACCTCCAAATTCGCCTACTTTGCATTCCTTCCTTTGCTCAACCTCGCTTCCGCATGTCCAGTACACTCTTGTATTCCTTTATTATGTAGCAAGAACGGCTTATATTATCACTGTGACCGCTAATCCCAACCCCATTCCGTTCCTGCGTGTGCCACTCGAGGCGGTTGGCTCGCTTCCAGCACGCGACCAAATACTGAATCAACCACCATCCGTTGTCCGTGATCCCAAGCGTGAACCTATTGATGAGTCAAGTTTATCAGGGGAGATTGAACCTGTTGCCATAACTGCAGAAAATCCTTTTCTCCTGTCTGGAACAAAGGTTCAGGATGGATCATGTAAAAGTTGGTAACAACTATTGGCATGAGAACTCAATGGGGTAAGTTGATGGCCACACTTAGTGAAGGAGGAGATGATGAAACTCCTTTACAGGTTAAGCTGAATGGATTTTCCACAATCATTGGGAAGATTGGCTTATCTCTAGGAGGTGATTTTATATTAGAGCGTAAAGCAATTAAGCTTATTCAAGGAGGATACCGAGCCCACTGTACAGGTGCCTCTGAAATAGTTCTGATTTCTTGTAACAAGGTTTCAGATGCTGCAGGTAATGTTGTTTCCCTTGATGATGCAACAACCAATCATCTCTGAACACACTTTTCCTTGAGGATACAATTGAAAGAATATGAGGGTTGAAGTTGATTTCTCAGCTAATCAACAAATCCCTTATGACGGGTACACATGTATTGGAATTATGGGCATTAAGGATCCTTTCAGACCTGGTGTCAAGAAGTCGGTGGCGGTTTGTCGATCAGTTGGAATGCCATAATATTGGATAGCTACAGGTGGCATTCTTACAGATGATGGCATAGCTATAGAAGGTCTAGAGTTTAGGGAAAAGAGTCTAGAACAAATGATGGAACTAATTCCATGGGTACAGCAAGCATTCCATATTATTGGGTATGGTTGTACTCCATGTAGGGTGGAATCACATTGGCTAAGGCATTAGAAGTCTGGACTCGTTTTAATAAGCTTGCGGACATGTATTGAAGACGTAAAATTTTTGATCCAGGAGGATTGCTCATGTTTCCTACACCTTTCTCCCTTCCAACGACGCATCTCGATGAAGTCGAGTTCATTTGACATAAGGAGAGTATGATGCGGAGCATCTTATTTATTTGCTTTCTAGAAACTTCTTATCTTGGTATATATAGTTCTAAGGAGAAAAAGAGATGATAGGATAATAATATACCTTTTTAAAGCCTTTGAGCTTGTGTTGGTTCCCTGATTTTGTATCCCTTCAAGCATATCCATTTCTTTCATCAATCTACTACATCAGTAGTTTTAAAGTATGACACATTAATTTAATTCTTCTATAATTCAAACAATCTTGTGCATCACCTTTATTCTTAAAAATAGGAATCAACACCTCATTCTCAACCCATCTGACATCTTTTAAATCCTTAAAATAATAATAAAAAGTTTAGTAAGACAAGAAATTCTTTCATCTCCTAAGCATTTCCACACCTGTATTAGAATATTAACAGGTCCAACTATAGGGGTGTTAGTAAGTTAAGCCGGCTTGTGGGTTGGCTTGAGCTCGGCTCGATAAATGGCTCATGAATCGAGCTTGATGAGCTAATTTTGTAATTGCTATTTTTTTTTCTTGCACATTTTAACTCAACCACAAACTATTTTTACTAGTATGAGCTTTTTCTTTTGATACTCCATGCACATTTTTGTAACATTATTAATATTCTAGCTATTTTTTCCACATAATATTAGCTTTCTCATGCAAAACAAAATTTTAAGATCTAGAATCTTATTCTCAAAAATATTTTTGTTAATATTTTTTAAACGCTCCCATTTAATCCTAGAACAATATTTTGCTTTATTTTTTATATTCTGCCCCTTCATCTTAAAGTCTCAAATTAATAAGTGATGTTGTGTAGATAAACTTTCACTCGGAATAACTTTATAATTTTTGCAATCTAAATGATCTATTTTTGTTATAAAAAAATAATGAGAGTTTTATTATATCCATTTTTATAAGTGATGAGATGCTTATCATTTTTCTTAAATAAGATATTAGCAATTGCAAAATCATATGTTATAGAAAAATTTAATATGGTCTTACCACATTCGTTAGTCACTCAAAACCTATAGCCAATATGAATGCTTTTAAAATCAATCTACATCTCTAGCAACATGTCCATTTAAATCGTCTCTAATAAAAACATTTTTTTTCAAGAGGTATCTTTTGTATTAATTTTTCTATGTCATTCTAAAATTTTAATTTTGAACACAAATCCAAGCCTTCTTGAGAAGCATAAGCACTTATAATATTAAAATCTTAGCATCAACAACAATCTTTAAATGTATAATTCTATTAATTTTACAATATTATCCTTCAAACTCTTATCAATAATCACACATATATCATTTATAGTATGACTCCTAGAATACCATAGTTTAAATCATAAACTATCAATCTCCTTAGCATTCCCTCCAATTCATTTAGTTTCCTGAATGTATAGAATATTTATCTTCCTATGAATCAAAATATATATTATTTCATTAATTTTCATGTAAGGGAACCTATATTCCAGATTATACTCGGCTTGATTACTCATCGAGCGACTCAAAAGGCGGAAGGCAGAAAGAAAAACTGGCGAAGCGTGGAAGGCCAAATGGCGAATCACGTCTACGTGTACAAACTGGCAAACCACGACATGCAAGCTGGTTAAGCGCGTGCAAACCACAAAAGGCAAACCAGTTGGGCGCTTGCGAAAGGCTCAAGTAGAATTTCAAGCTTATGAAGTTTCGAGCTCGAGCAGAATTTCGAGCTCGTTGGATTATTGAGCTTGAGTTCGATCCTAATGATACTCGGCTTGATTACTCGTCAAGCGGTTCGGAAGGTAGAAGGTGAACAGGCGAAGTGTGGAAGTTGAACTGGGGAAACAAGTTTGCGCATACAAACTGGCGATCCGCGGCACGCAGGCTAGTGAAGCGCTTGCAAACCAATGATGATGAACTGACAAAGTGAGAGCAAACAGCGGAAGGCTAATCAGTGAAGCACATGTGAATTGATGAAGGTGAACTGGCCTTTGCGTGTGCGAGCCACGTCCGTAAATTGGCCTCTACATGCTAGAACCGTTGAATCGAGCCGCTCGAAAAGCTTATTTTCAGTGGCACGAGTCAAGCTCGAGCTCAACTTGAGTTTGAGCTCGAGTTAGGCCTGAATCGAGCCACTCGAAGAGCTCATTTTCAGTGGCAAGAGTCGAGCTCGAGCTCGACTTGAGTTCAAGCTCGAGTTAGGCCTGACTCGAGTTGCTCGACTCGTTTGCACTCGTAGTGGGTGGTGGGGTGTAACTCTTGAAGCATGCATAGATGATTATTATGCGGTTCTATTTAGTTGATAGGATGTTATCTTTAGGATATTGCACAATCTGGTGACTTGGAAAAGTAGAAAATAAATTGTGTTAGCAAACTCTAACGTAGAAGCCAATTTTAAATCTTTAATACTAGAATTCTATGAATTGCTATTGCAAAAAAATATTTTGAAAGATTTAAAAGTTGAATGAAATGATTTTATGAGGCTCTATTGTGATAACAAGCCAACTTTCAATATTACACAAAATCTCGTACAACATGACCTTACAAAGCATATTGAAGTACATAGACACTTTATAAAGGAGATGCTTAATAGTGGTCTAATCTATACTACTCTCATAAACACGTGAAAAACTGGTTGACATTCTCACTAAAGGATTATCAAGGGTAAATCTTTAAGATATTATCAAACAAGCTTGGAATGGATGATATTCATTTATGTATTTGAGGGGAGTGTGAAATGCCATAATTTTTGTCAGCTAGGACCCACACTCATGAAGACTTCTGCCCTTTTTCCTTCCTCTTCCGTTGCTACCTCATTATTTTGTAGGATCTCTACTGTCTACTCATCAATCCCTGGATTATTATAGTTATTTTATAATTAATTATATTCTCTGATTTTATATTTTCTCTATTCAATTGTGTATATTTTGTACATATTGAAATGAAAAACATTAAATCAATTCTCTCCTTTTCTTGTCAACCTTCTATTCCTCCTAGTTAGTCTTGTTGTGATTCAATTGATTATTATTAGTAAAACTATGAGATAGGGAACTCTATGGAACCAGGTGTGGTTTCCTCACTTGATGTCTTCTGATGGAAATAAGATATAAGATTTGTATTTTGAGGTATTTCTGTGTAGGTAAGTTGCAGAAGTCATCATAATCGAATGTTATATGTTTATATGGTAAAGTACATTTTTGTAGGTGAGAGTTGAAGGAAGTGTTGAGAGGGTTTCTTTTGAAGAATCTGAAAAATACTTTCACAGTCGCCCTCTTGGAAGTCAACTTGGAGCTATTGTCAGCAAGCAGGTTACTTTTCACCTTTCTGAAATGCCATTCCGAGTTTTTTTTTTTAATAACAAATTAACAAACGAATTAACTGCATTATCCGTTAGAGTACACCTCTTTCTGGAAGAGAAGTGCTGCATGAAGCATACCGGGAACTAGAAGCTAAATATTCTGATGGGTTAGTATTCAATATATACTTGATTTGTCCATGGCATTTCTTTTGCTCAATTTTTTTTGCTGGTTCTTCCTAAACAGAGAAAGAAAAACTTCTGTCTGAAGAGTATTAACAAACTATTTAATAGGTATCAGTCAAGAAAATTTAATCATGATCTTTAAGGCTTTGTTGTTTGGCCTATAAGTAGGCCGTACTGGCGGAAGTAGAAGTACAATGTTTTATGTGATTTGTAGTTGAGGGGGGAAAAAGCAGATAGCTAGGAATTGGCTTATGGTATGCTGACAATTGTAAGCTGAGCAATTTTTGAAGTTTCGTGGCTTAATGCTAAATGCCAAGAGATGCCAAATGATTGCATAAGAAATATTTTGGTCCTAGAATTTAGGAACAAATGCAGTCAAGATTGTCATAATAATAATAAGGGAATCATATTATGAGTTGTACAATAAATTTATGGGAGAAGACAATTGAAGATTTGCTTAGAAAATTACATTGTTGTCTAAGAAGCAAATTGGTTTTTTACTAGAAAAATTTATCATAGATCCAATTTTTGTGTATTAATGAAACAATATAGAGAGAAAAAAACGATCTTGATATGATTTTTATTAATATTGAGAATGTATATGAGTGTACAGTAAGAATGAGAGTGGATTCATGTGCATCAAGGAAATTACATGTCAAGGGTATATGGTGAAGCTATTTAAGATATCTATGGAGGAGGATTTATTAGTTTTAGAAATTTTGGAGTGATCAAAGGATTTTAAATCACGATGGGATAATCAAAGGATAAACATCAAGCCTGTTTGTGTTTTTTTTTTTTGTTATGGATATGTTTACAGTGGATTTTCAGTGTAAGTTATGTTGGTATGGCCTTTTTTTTTTTTTTTATGGCGTATGCTAGTTGTAATAGATGAAGATAGTTGTTGAAATAAGAAGTAAGAATTGAATGAATTTTTAGGAAGGAAAGGATTTTGACTGGCAGAATAAAATTCCAAGTATATGATATGCAATTTATGAAATTATTAAATGAAAATTTTAAGAAAGAAATTTTTTCGTAAGAGCATTTTAAGTACATAACAAAGTACATTATAGATTGTTAAAAAAAAGTAAAGTTGAGTTACTTTGAAGAATATAAATAAAGTTAAAATTTTGGATCCATATGAGATACCATTTAGATTTAAAGAGTTATGAGTTATATTGGACTAGTTTGATTAACCAATCTTTTTAACATAATTCTTATTATTAAGAGGATGTCAAATGACCAAAGAAAAGTATGCTTAAGTTCATATAAATTACAAGGGAATTTAACTTATGAATCATACATTGATGTTATGGAATGTATACATAGACAATATTATACTGATATTGAAGAATTAACTTAGTTTAATGCTATAAGATCCAATAATGTGTAGGGGTGTCAAAATGGATCTTCGGGTCGGGTCGGGTTAAACCCGAATTTGACTTGCTGCCAGTTGACTCGACTCGAACCCGACCCGGTTATAGAAATTGGTCAGAAATTCAAACTTGAACCCGACCATGTTCGGGTTCGGGTCAACCCGAAATGACACACCAACCCGATTTTTTTTCCATTTTTTTGTCATTTTTGCTATTTCACATTTATTTAAGTAATTCTATTAAAATGCATAATACTAAAGTATAATTATTTGATTATTTGAGCAACTATAAATGAACTTATATTACATTTACAAAATACTAACACTAATTGTTAAATTATAAATTACATATTTACATTTATAAAAAAAAATGTAAAGCATAAATTGCATTTACTAAATACTAATATACATTACAGTATTACATTTACATTGTTATACAAATATTGAAACACAAAGGATTTAATTAAATTCGGGTTGAAGTCGAGTCGTGGTCGGGTTCTCGGGTCAACCCGAACCCCACCTGATTTTTAAAATGGGTCGAGTTTTTAAACCCGAACCTGACCCTTTGGATAAACAGGTTGACCCAAACCCAAACTTTTCCAGGTCAGATTTCAGGTCGGGTCAAATTTTGACACTAATGTTGCAATTTTTGCTATAAGGAAATTATTGGAAAAATAAGGAGAACCTAAAATGATCTTCATATGGTCTTATTTTATCTTGAAAATGCATTTTATTTAGTACCATGAGAATTCATTCAGTGTGCATAAAGAAAAAAGGTGTGTCAAAGATATGTTGAAGTTGGTAATAATTATGGTAATCATTGTTGGAAGTATTATATAGTTACAAAGGAGTTTGATGTAGGACGCTTTAGATTCTATAGTTTTCAATGCACACAAGCATGAAATTTGGATTTAGATCTGGTTGATTTTGCAAACATATAACTTTCCTTTGAAATCAATCTATTTACAACTTTCAAAGAAAAATAAAATTTGTTAATTTAAACAAAAAGAAATTGACATTCTACTCGAAACAAGCAACAAGTTACGGATCACAAAAAATCACACAATGGATGATTGATGCTTAATACAAAAGAAACTTAATGCGATTTAATTGCACTTGATAAAATTTAATTGCACTTTCAACCAACAACAATATATGAAACGTTAGGGCTATAAATGAACGAGTTGAGTTGTTTTATCATCTTAGACAATTCAGTACTTTCTTGGAATTGAATTTGTCTGTAATGAAAAGGGAATATTGCTTTCAACCAACAACAATATATGAAACGTTAGGGCTATAAATGAACGAGTTGAGTTGTTTTTACATAAATTTTGTTAATGCGATTGCGTAACTCAGGTCTTAATTTGATTTCAGTTCAAGTCTTTCTAGCCCTTGGCCTATGAATACGAAGATTTCAACTGTACTGCCATAGGCATCCATGTTGCCCATCAAGATAGACTCTTTTCATATCTTGGGTTATTCCATTAGTAGCATCACATTCGTCAACTAATTTGATATTTTGATAACGTTCCATGTAATGTGATTCCCATCTCTGCCAAAGATTTCCTTAGATTTAGAGAATCAGCTGCAAATAACAGGGTGGAGGTCCAATCACAAAAAGCAAAGGAATGCTCTTCAGATAACTAGTTTGTGCGTTTCCAGTTCAACTTCCACCCTCTTATTACTGTCTTAATCCTTAATGGCATAAATGCTTTAAGCCACATTATTGAGACAGTTTTTGCACAACTTTAAGCAAATGAAGATTGTCAGGGTATCACATGTGACTTGCATGTTCCTTCAATAATAATTTTTATAGTGATACAAGGAGCTATCCACTTGTTGAGCTTGTTGGAGTGAGCTCAATTGCTTAAAAATAAATGTTTACTAATAATTTTTTCATGGTCATGCTGTATTTTGTTCTTAAGTTTTCAATTTAATAAGTGTTTACTAAAAATAGATCATATTTTCTTTTTATGATTTGTGTACTAAAAATGAAAACAAAACAAAGCAAATCGAAATATCGCCATGACTTCTTTATTTGAATCTTGTGCTTCTTCAGGAGTGTTATTCCTAAACCAGATTACTGGGGAGGATATCGCCTTAAACCAATCCTTTTTGAATTTTGGCAAGGACAAACTTCTCGTCTACATGACCGGTCAGATCTCTACACCTTCCTACTGAAATTCATCATCATCTTAAAGTTCCAATCATTCATTTATTTTTATTAAATGAATCTGACATTCTCTAAATGCCAATATTATTTGCCCTTGTGCAGGCTTCAGTACTCTCTGAGAGAGGTGGAAGGAAGGCATTCATGGCATATAGTAAGGCTGGCCCCATGACTTTCTCCCTCTTCACTACCTAAAAATTATTACGTGCGGGTCCGGATTCATCCGGAGACCAATAAAACTGCGCCACATCATCTAAAAAATGTACCGCACTCGGTACCACTTGGTACCGAGCGCGGAAACGGACAGTTCTTTCGTCCGGTGTCCGCACAGAATAATCGCTCGGCCACTATATACAATAAAAAATTCCTTCTCTGGATCCTGCATTCATCTCTTTCAATCTTCTGCTATTGTACCTGCAGCATTATGAACTTTTTTTAATGGTTGATAACTATATAATATACCCATTTTCCTCCTAATTCTCTACCATTACTGCAGGATCTAGCTCTTAATGTGGCTTCCATTAAAGGTCTTAATAATACAACTTCTGATCTGCATTTTATTTCTTCACTTTAATCGTAGTGTATTTTTTAGCTTATTCTCCATCATGAAATAAGAAATTGGTCTTTTGATTCCTTGATCTGATAACTAAGAGACAATTAATGGGTCATGGGTGGGTCTGATCTGTGTAGAATAAACTAATTGATTTACATCTGCTAGTGATTAGAAAACTGATTGGTTAACTGTGATAAAGTTTGACATCTATGGAGGCAGAGTGTTTATCTAGTCAGCCAAGCACGTGTTCTTCTTTGAGTGGTGATTAAAAATACATTTTCTCAAGTTATTTATAGATCTTGGCTATGGTTTTTTATTATTTTATCAAAAGAAAAAATTGTGTTGAGAAAGAGACTTTTTTGAAATAATTATGTTTTGATTCGATCGCTAAAGTTTTGATTTACTTTGAGATGAGTGCAGTATGATACACAAAATTTTCTTTTAATATGATAGTGTGTGGTTATAAGAAAATTATTGGATTTATTTTGGATGGGACAAATTTATAATATTCATATAAAATTTTGTAATGTTATTTTTTCAACAATAGTTCCACAACTAATATGTAAGACAATTGCAGATGCCTCAAATATCTTAACTTGTGGTATTTTTAATAATAGCCTTAAACATTGCTCACTCTTTTATTATTTACTTCAATGATTGTTCCTTAGTTAGCCATACCATCAACTGAACTTCATGATTAAATGCAATGTTTATAATCAACAAAATTTCATAAAATCCTCATACTAAGGTGACTTGCTAATATCAAAGCATCAAGAAGAATTTAAAGGATGTCAAGCCACTCAAAAAGATAGGAAAGCACTAGATAAAAGTTTAAGGATAATACTATTCACTTTCAAAGACTACTTAAGCTTATATAGAAGAACTAAGGGGAAATCAAGGCACTCCATTTCATGTAGAGGAGTGCACCAAAGTAAGTACTTATGACTAACATTATAGTATTAGTTCAATATCTTATATATAATATAGCCTCAAGGTAATTGTGGTAAAAAAAAGTTCTTGATTGAATCATTCTTCCCTGATTTTCTCATAGCCATAAAGATGAATGATATATGGAATTTGCAAGATCTTCTAATTAGCTATTAGGATCCACTTTCTATGTCTTCATGAAACCTTATGATCCCTCTTTGAACTCTTTGTTCATGGGCAAGGTCATAGCTTTGACTTTAAATAGGAAAGATTGGGTTAAGTTGGATCTTATCTTTAAAATCCGAAGTAGGATTTGTAGCATAATGGATCATGGTTATCAAGTAGGGATCTCACAAATAATCCTCAAAGGTGGTCAAATTCTTAGCAATTCTAAATCTACCTTTTTTTTTAAAATATATCATGGTTATGAAGGAGGGCTATGGTGGAAAGTCATGTAGGACTACCAAAATCTTTGGTGGATTACTTTGAGGTATTAAAATAAAAAATTCTTGTGTCATAATCATACAAATGTTGATTAAGTCCTTCATCAAGTATACAAAAACTACAAAATTATATTGTGTATACATTATTACGTGCGGGTCCGGATTCATCCGGAGACCAATAAAACTGCACCACATCATCTCAAAAATGTACCGCACTCAGTACCACTTGGTACCGAGCGCGGAAACGGACAGTTCTTTCGTCCGGTGTCCGCACAGAATAATCGCTCGGCCACTATATACAATAAAAAATTCCTTCTCTGGATCCTGCATTCATCTCTTTCAATCTTCTGCTATTGTACCTGCAGCATTATGAACTTTTTTTAATGGTTGATAACTATATAATATACCCATTTTCCTCCTAATTCTCTACCATTACTGCAGGATCTAGCTCTTAATGTGGCTTCCATTAAAGGTCTTAATAATACAACTTCTGATCTGCATTTTATTTCTTCACTTTAATCGTAGTGTATTTTTTAGCTTATTCTCCATCATGAAATAAGAAATTGGTCGTTTGATTCCTTGATCTGAAAACTAAGAGACAATTAATGGGTGGGTCTGATCTGTGTAGAATAAACTAATTGATTTACATCTGCTAGTGATTAGAAAACTGATTGGTTTACTGTGATAAAGTTTGACATCTATGGAGGCCGAGTGTTTATCTAGTCAGCTAAGCACGTGTTCTTCTTTGAGTGGTGATTAAAAATACATTTTCTCAAGTTAAGGGTGTGTTTGTCACAATTTTTTATCAGCTTTATTTATAGATCTTGGCTATGGTTTTTTATTATTTATCCAAAAAAATTTGTGTTCACTTTTTTGAAATAATTATGTTTTGATCTGATCGCTAAAGTTTTGGATTTACTTTGAGATGAGTGCAATATTAATCAGAAAAGTATGATACTTGATTGAATCATTCTTCCCTCATATTCTCGTAGGCATAAAGATGAATGATATATGTAATTTGCAAGATCTTCTAATCATCTTTTAGGATCCACTTTCTACATCTTCATGGAACCTTATCATCCCTTCTTGAACTTTTTGTTCATGGGGAAGGTCATAGCTTTGACTTTAAATAGGAAAGATTGGTTTAAGTTTGATTTTATCTTTAAACTCCAAAGTAGGATTGGTAGCATAATGGATTATGGTTATCAAGTAGGGATCTCACTAATAATCCTCAAAGGTGGTCAAATTCTTAGCAATTCTAAATCTACCTTTTTTTTTAAATATATCATGGTTATGAAGGAGGGCTATGGTGGAAAGTCATGTAGGACTACCAAAATCTTTGGTGGATTACTTTGAGGTATTAAAATAAAAAATTCTTGTGTCATAATCATACAAATGTTGATTAAGTCCTTCATCAAGTATACAAAAACTACAAAATTATATTGTGTATACATAGATAATCCAACTAAACTGAGGATAAAGTTACTACCCAATTTTATATATATGGATATTACCTAACTCTATTGTGTATATAAAGAGTACTTAACCCCATTAAGTATAATATGGCTTCCCTATTCCTATTGATTTATGTAGAATAATTAAGTTTATCTGGCATCATAAAAGATAGGACCATCCATAGGCTTAAGAGCATAATTATGATCAGCTGAATTTTCAACATCTGTCAAGATATTGTTGCTTTCAAGTTGTCAATCCTTACAATTGGCTAGAGGGAAATCAAAGAAACTATGTTTTATCACTTCTTCGTCACACAATTATGCTATTATATATATATAATCAAGACTTAAGGTTTGTTTGGCATAATCAAAAATAGTGAAGGGAAATGAAACACGAAGCTTTAGAACAAGAAAAAGTGTATAAGGGGAATAATACTCACCTTCATTCCCCTAATAAGGGTTTCATAAGCACCTAAACAGACACAAAAAGATGCCACAAGCACATGCACCTTCAAAATAACGGGGCCCTCATATTTGACTTCAATTTAATGAGGTGCTTAAAATCTCTTAGTTGTGTATGTGTTAAAACACCCACCTCTTCTTTCACACAATTGTACCAATAAAATTGGCAAACTTCATATTCTAAGTGGGCGAACTATCGACGTTATGTACCAATAAATTTGGCAAACTTCATTTTCTTTCTTCCACACAAACAAAAATGATGATGCTTTTTTTTTTTTTGAAAAAAAATGATGATTCCAAAGGATGTATATATTAACATGCACTTCATGACTTTATTTATTATTATTATTATTATTATTATTTTTTATGTTGAGCGAAAATATCATAGATATATTCATTATAGTATGGAGTAAAATTTTGAACTATTGAAGCAATCAGCTAGCCATCATTTTCAATGGGTTGTGGAGCCTTCTCATTGGAGATAGAGAAAGATAGGGCAATAAATCTTACTTCTCTCATACAAAATGTCAGCCTTTTTTCTCGCATCCATTAATCTACCTTTCCTTTTGAGGTCCTCTCATATTCTACTTTGGGCAATGGAATTTGACATCTCAAAGGCCTACTGGCTTTTGACTACTAAGTATTAGGGGTGTAAATGAGCCGAGCTAAACTCGAGTCGCTCCTAATTTGAGCTTGAACTTGATTAATTTATAGAGTTCGAGCTAGAGCTCAAGCTCAAGCTTTATTCAACGAGTTCGAGCTAGCTACGAGCCGGCTCATTTTTTAATAAAAGAGAGAAAATGATTATGGTTTAAGCAATTATTATAATAATATGATAAAAATGAGAAATTCTAAGAAAAATAATAAATATTTATTTAATATAAGAAATTGAGATATGTTTTTTAAACAATTTCAATAATTTTGAACTTAAAATTCTAAATTTTAATATATTTTAAGTATATTTTATATTAATATTTTTTAAACGAGTCGGCTCCTCAAACTAACGAATCGAGTCGTGTCTTGCTCAAACTTGGCTCGTTAGCTCATCGAGCTCGGATCACATGCCAATTATCGAGCTGAGCTCATGCGGCTCACAAATCAGCTTGACTCACTTACATACCTAATGTGGCATTGTACGTAACAAGCTCGACCAATAATAGCTTTATATATGTAGAATTTATCTACTAAGAGAGCACCTCTAAAGGCATTGATGTTGACAAGGGAAACAAATTTGAATATTGATTTTCATAAACAAATAAATTTGATCCACAAACTTGGTATAATATGAAAACAAAATATTAACTATAGAAACTTTTTTTTTTTTTCTCTTTGATTTATTGAAAAATAAGCAACCCTAAAAGAGCAATATGTGGGGCTGAGCTTGAAAGCACTTTTGAGCGATGCCATGGACGTAGAACTCCGGATAACATATATATAATAATTACGTTGAATTCGTCAAAAATGTAAGGGCCTTTTAGATTATTTTTTGTTTTTATTTTTAAAAGGTATATTTTAAATCATTATTATTTTTATTTTTTTAAAATAAAATAAGTAATTTTAAAATATTTAAAATAATGTTGAGCTTCTTGTTATCTTTGTTAGCGGTCATCGTTACTAGCATATAAATCATTTTTTTAATATTCATTAAAAATAAAATTAATTTTTTAAGATATTAACTATATTTTATTTTATGTTAAAATATATAGATAAAAAGATGGTCCCAATTGATCTTTAAGAAATTAATAATGTTAGGAGTTCAATAAGTTTGTTAACATATCAAAATGTATTGGATTTAAGCGGTCGGATTGCCCATCAATCATTCCAAAGCTTTTCTCTCGCATTGAGCATCTCTAGTTAAAAATTTAAATATATTATTAGGAATTGGTCCCATAATTGAAAGGTCAAGGGCTAG